ACAGTGCACACACATGGGTGTGTGCGCACACACAGACACACATACATATGCAATAAAATAAAACAATAATTTTGTAAAGCTAGAAATAATTTTTTTCAGCCAGGTTCCCCTGTGGGCTGACCTTGAACTCATTATGTAGCTGAGGATGACCTTGTGCTTATGACCCTCCTCTCCTGTTTCTACTTCACCAGTGCCCCAAAGCCACCTTGCTGGGAGGAAGCCTAAATCAGAGCACCCAGAGGGAGAGAGATGAGACAGACAGAGACACAGAGGCTCAGGCCTCAGCACCCGTCCTTGCTAACCACAACAGGAAAATGTGAAGCAGAGCAACCAGAGAGGCCTCACTGACAGAATCCTGTATCCCTCGCTGGCTGCACCCTGTATCCCTCACTGACTGCACCCTGTATCCCTCGCTGACTGCACCCTGTATCCCTCGCTGACTGCACCCTGTATCCCTCGCTGACTGCACCCTGTATCCCTCGCTGACTGCACCCTGTATCCCTCGCTGACTGCACCCTGTATCCCTCGCTGACTGCACCCTGTATCCCTCGCTGACTGCACCCTGTATCCCTCGCTGACTGCACCCTGTATCCCTCGCTGACTGCACCCTGTATCCCTCGCTGACTGCACCCTGTATCCCTCGCTGACTGCACCCTGTATCCCTCGCTGACTGCACCCTGTATCCCTCGCTGACTGCACCCTGTATCCCTCGCTGACTGCACCCTGTATCCCTCGCTGACTGCACCCTGTATCCCTCGCTGACTGCACCCTGTATCCCTCGCTGACTGCACCCTGTATCCCTCGCTGACTGCACCCTGTATCCCTCGCTGACTGCACCCTGTATCCCTCGCTGACTGCACCCTGTATCCCTCGCTGACTGCACCCTGTATCCCTCGCTGACTGCACCCTGTATCCCTCGCTGACTGCACCCTGTATCCCTCGCTGACTGCACCCTGTATCCCTCGCTGACTGCACCCTGTATCCCTCGCTGACTGCACCCTGTATCCCTCGCTGACTGCACCCTGTATCCCTCGCTGACTGCACCCTGTATCCCTCGCTGACTGCACCCTGTATCCCTCGCTGACTGCACCCTGTATCCCTCGCTGACTGCACCCTGTATCCCTCGCTGACTGCACCCTGTATCCCTCGCTGACTGCACCCTGTATCCCTCGCTGACTGCACCCTGTATCCCTCGCTGACTGCACCCTGTATCCCTCGCTGACTGCACCCTGTATCCCTCGCTGACTGCACCCTGTATCCCTCGCTGACTGCACCCTGTATCCCTCGCTGACTGCACCCTGTATCCCTCGCTGACTGCACCCTGTATCCCTCGCTGACTGCACCCTGTATCCCTCGCTGACTGCACCCTGTATCCCTCGCTGACTGCACCCTGTATCCCTCGCTGACTGCACCCTGTATCCCTCGCTGACTGCACCCTGTATCCCTCGCTGACTGCACCCTGTATCCCTCGCTGACTGCACCCTGTATCCCTCGCTGACTGCACCCTGTATCCCTCGCTGACTGCACCCTGTATCCCTCGCTGACTGCACCCTGTATCCCTCGCTGACTGCACCCTGTATCCCTCGCTGACTGCACCCTGTATCCCTCGCTGACTGCACCCTGTATCCCTCGCTGACTGCACCCTGTATCCCTCGCTGACTGCACCCTGTATCCCTCGCTGACTGCACCCTGTATCCCTCGCTGACTGCACCCTGTATCCCTCGCTGACTGCACCCTGTATCCCTCGCTGACTGCACCCTGTATCCCTCGCTGACTGCACCCTGTATCCCTCGCTGACTGCACCCTGTATCCCTCGCTGACTGCACCCTGTATCCCTCGCTGACTGCACCCTGTATCCCTCGCTGACTGCACCCTGTATCCCTCGCTGACTGCACCCTGTATCCCTCGCTGACTGCACCCTGTATCCCTCGCTGACTGCACCCTGTATCCCTCGCTGACTGCACCCTGTATCCCTCGCTGACTGCACCCTGTATCCCTCGCTGACTGCACCCTGTATCCCTCGCTGACTGCACCCTGTATCCCTCGCTGACTGCACCCTGTATCCCTCGCTGACTGCACCCTGTATCCCTCGCTGACTGCACCCTGTATCCCTCGCTGACTGCACCCTGTATCCCTCGCTGACTGCACCCTGTATCCCTCGCTGACTGCACCCTGTATCCCTCGCTGACTGCACCCTGTATCCCTCGCTGGCTGCACCCTGTATCCCTCGCTGGCTGCACCCATCTATGAGCACGGCTTCCTTTAAGCCGCTGGACTGGGTGAGAAACATGATGCAGTGATATAAGCGATGAAGGGTTATTCAATCCTAAGGAAGGCCAAAGCCAGACTTGGGAGGTTGTGCCTTTCATCCCAGCTCTTGGGAGGCAGAAGCAAGAGGATTGCTACCAGTTGGAGCCCATCCTGGGATGTGTTGTGAATTCCAGAACAGCACAGGTTAGAGTGGAGAGTGTCAAAGAGCAAAATGAAAGAAAGGAAAGGAGGGAGGGGATGACACTTGAGACTTCATCTCAAAAACAACCAAAGTAAAAGGAAGGGGGGTGTGGAGAAGAAGGGAAGCCTCCACTCTTAGGGCTGAGGATCTGTTGTGGGAGGCATCTGTATGGCTGGAAAGTCGGGTCACCGTCCCCATACATTATGTTCATGTAGAGGCTGGCTTTCCTTAATGCAGAAGCCATGGAACACAGTGGCCCCAGGTCCATCAGCCTGGTGTTAATCATTCACTAGGGGATACCTGGGTCCCATTGGCTGCCTGGGGACACAGCCCTCTGGGTGGAAGCCCAGGCAGTTTCCGTCTGTCCCACAGGCTCAGGGCCAACGGGACTGATGCTGGTGACACTGGACCGAACAAATGGGTGGGCGGACACTCAAGAGGCCCCCGGTCCTAGGAGGGAGGCAGCAGCCCTCTCTCCGGGGAGCTCCAGTCTGAGACCAGGATAGCGGGAATAAGATCAGAAGGAAGAAAGGCTTGGAGGGAGGGACCAGAGGATGAGCGCTCAGGGGGCTTGGAGGAGAGCCAGTCGGGAGGGGAAACACGTGGAAGGCTGGGGCCTCTGAAGCCAGAGAGGAGTTTTAGGAGGAAAAGGATCACAACTCAAGGGGTAGGTCCCCCTCCTTTGGGGACAGTGAGACGTGCACGTGGCAAGGGGTGCAGCGGCCTGGCAGTACAGAGGGAAGAGGGAAAGGGCTCTGGAGGGTCTCCTGTGAATTGTGCGTGCCTCTGTGTGTGTGTGTGTGTGCGCGCGCGCGCGCGCCCCTGCACGCACACGTCCCACACACAAACCTCCCTTCCCAGCCTCGCAGCACCGCCTGTCTAGCTTTCTAAGTAGGAGAATGGAAACACCAATAAGGAGGACTCAAAGGTCATAGCTCCTCCCACTCCAGACTCCCGGGCCAGGCACTGTGCGTGGGTGTGCTGAAGGGAGAATTTCCAGGAAGGGGTCGGCACACTCAGGAAATTCTTTCTCATTTGAAGAGAGCACAGAGCCTCTCCCATATTCTACCACATACTCCACCACAGAATGTCCCTGTCCCCGTTCTGCCTCCTGGGAATAGTCAAGGGGCCACTGTACGTCTTCCAGGTGGCCTCCTGGGATCCTGGGCTGGGAAACAAAACCACACTAAGAGCTAGGCGTGGTGACAACACACACCTGCACTCCCCACGCTCAGGATGCTGAGGGGACTTCCAAGCCAGCCTGGTGTACATAGCGCAAGTTGCTCTTTCCGAACAAGCCCAGAGAAAGAGAGACAACAAAAGTACCAGGGAACGTATGATGCCTGGTGTCTGCGCTGTGTGACCTTGGCCAAGTCACCTTCCCTTTACAAGCTCAGAGTCCCATTTCCTCCTCAACAACAACAGGGGACTAGAGTTGGAGAGAGTGTGTCTGCCCCAGGACAGGCCTAACTGGGGTCACTTGGGGGTGCTTTCACATAACACATGAAATCATGTTTCCTGGGACACGGGCACCCCTGCTCCAATCTAGTCTGTGTCCCAAGGTCCTGACGTGCAAATGGGGTGGCAGACATACCACCCCTGGAGTCACCATGAAGGTGACAAGTGGGTTTCACCGAGCCAGGCATTCTGCATGGGAAGGTGTCACCTGGCACTAAAGTAGCATTAACCGCGTCGCAAGCTAACAGGCCGTACTACTTCATCCAGAATGTAATGGGTTTTTGTTCTCACCTTATTCTTAGGCTTTTTTTTTTTTCTGTTCCTGGCAAGGGACACTGGCCTCCAAGTCTCAATCCTCACACTCCTAGATCTTAGCTTGAAACAGCCTAAAGCATTAAAATTAACAGAGGGCCACTTGGAGGCTATAATCGTATTCCTTGGATGGCTCCCAGTGGCTGGAGTTAACAAACCCTGGCCAACCTGATCATGAGTTCAGACAAGATTTTCATTTTAAGACAAGGTTTAGGCCGGGTGGTGGTGGCGCACGCCTTAAATCCCAGCACTGGGCAGGCAGAGGTAGGCGGATCTCTCTGAGTTTGAGGCCAGCCTGGTCTACAGAGTGAGTTTCAGGACAGACAGAACTACACAGAGAAACCTTGTCTCAGAACACAAAGGCAAACAAAAACCAGGGTTTCGTTAGCACAGGTTGACCTTGATTGAACTGCCTGTGAAGTCAAGGATGACCTTGTCTCTGATCCTCCTCTGATTCCACTTTGGAAATGTTGGGGTTACAGTTATATGGCCATCATGCCAAGTTCTGTTTGTTTCGGTTTTGGGGGGTGGATAGGGGATTGCCTTTTTTTTTTTTTTCTTTGAGACAGGGTTGTCTCTAGGTTATGTAGACCCCTGGCTATTCTGAAACTCGCTCTGTAGACCTGGGTGACCTTGTTGATACAGGCCTGCCTCTGCCTCACGAGTCTAGTTTTTATATTTTGAGACAAGGCCCTGCTATGAAGCCTAGGTCCACCTGGAACTCGCAGCAATCCTCCTGCCCCAGCCTCCCAGGAACTGAGATTACAAACATGCCTCATCACCATCCGCTTGACAACAGGACTTTGTTTGCATACCAGAGGCTACAGTGAGAACGACGACCTGTGTTCAATTTTCCCAGACTCCTCCTTCCAACTCATGACACCTGCCTGTACGACCCTGCAAATTCGCAAAGACACACCTGGGACACTTGAGCGCTTCCTGGAACCGGTTTTGGCAGCAGATTAAAGAGCTCCGCCACTCTAAATCTGACCCTCGTGACCCTCGCTAATAGTACCAATCTCTCCCCCCCCCAGGGGCGGAGAATTCTAGAGGCCCCGCCTGCTGGGCTGTGAATTGCCCCGCCCAAATGCACCCAGAAGCCACTCGGGGCCTCCTATTCCGCCAGCCCCTGGTCTGATCCAGCCCAGTTCAGTCGCAAGTTAAGAAACCCCCAGTGCTGTGCGCTGCAGTCCGACCGCCACCTGTGGGTGGGGGGGCAAGTGGGTTTGGTTGTCGTCATGGCGACGGCGTGGGTGGCCACAGCCCTGAGGTCGACTGCTGCAGCCAGAAGGCTGCGCAGCCCGGGAGGTCCTGGGGGCTCACGGAGATTGAGCGGCAGCGCGCGGCGGCGCGGGGCGAAAAGCGCCAGCCCAGGACGCCGGCTCAGCACTGCCAGGGCTCGCACAGAGGACTCCGAGGGCGCAAAGGGTCGTGTCCAGTCTCCTGCCGTCGAAGAGCCGTCGTGGATACCAATTTCAGTTCCCCTCGAATCCCCCGCGCCTCCCGCCGGCAGATCACTGGTGCAGCGGGACATCCAGGCCTTCCTGAACCAGTGTGGAGCCAGCCCAGGGGAGGCACGCCACTGGCTCACACAGTTCCAGACCTGCTACCACTCGAAGGACAAGCCCTTTGCCATCATGGAGGTAAGCCGATCTCGGTGTTCGCCCAGTCACAGCAAGGAGATGAAGGCTGGTCGTCGTCTTCAGTCTCGACATGCCGAGCTGCGAACCCAGAGTACAAGGGCACAGAGTTAGTGCTGGGTATAGGGGGAAGCCGTGAGGCCGCGGGAACTGCGCCTGGCGCTCTTAGGAGAATGGGGAACCCAGTCCTCCCTCAGAGATGTCTGAGAAAGGCCCCTCACCACGGACGCAGTTAGGGGTTCAGTAGGCAGAGCTGTCGCATCACCCCTCCCCCCAAGATGTCCCAGAGTCCAAGGCCGCTGGGAGGCGCCGAGGGAGGAACACTAGATAAGGGGGTGGCTAAGACCCAGCGGGCAAAGGGCGGAGCAGTTGACCAAAAGTGGGGCCTGAAGGCACCTGAGTAGAGAGAGCACTGTCACTGAGGGTCCCAAGGTCCGAGTAGGAACCAGCAGCTTAGAGCCAGTTTGTGTCCCTGAACGCCCGCCCCTGTACAGGTTGATGAGGTGGTGTTCCAGTGCCCGCAGGCGGTGTCTAACCTGGCTTTCGCCCTGGCCTTCCTGCAACGCATGGACATGAAACCTCTGGTGGTCCTGGGGCTGCCGGCCCCCACGGCACCTTCGGGCTGTCTTTCCTTCTGGGAAGCTAAGGCACAGCTTGCTCAGAGCTGCAAGGTGCTGGTGGATGAGCTACGGCATAATGCTGCTACTGCGGTGCCCTTTTTTGGCGGTGGATCAGTGCTGAGCGCTGCGGAGCCGGCCCCCCATGCCAGGTTAGTGTTAACCCAGCCCATCCTGGCATCCTCAGAGTGGGCCACTCTGCTGGCTTGAGCACCACATCTGGCCCACAGCTACGGTGGCATCGTCTCGGTGGAGACAGACCTGTTGCAGTGGTGCCTGGAGTCCAACAGCATCCCAATCCTGTGCCCTATTGGGGAGACAGCTGCGCGCCGGTCAGTGCTGCTTGACTCGCTGGAGGTGACGGCGTCCCTGGCCAAGGCCCTGCAGCCCACCAAAATCATCTTCCTCAATAATTCGGGAGGCCTGCGGGATACCAGTCAGAAGGTGTGCCCCTCTCCCGTGCCACCTTATGACACTATGCAAGACGGAGTCTTCAGCGTGACTCCACGGCAGGTCACAGTCACTCTAAAGTCAATAGAGTAGGAGGGGCTAACAGAAGAGGAGGAGAGAAGTTGACCCTTAGTGGCCAGACTGAGCCTTTCCAGGTAGAGGACTCTGGGAGGAAGTAAAGGTTAAATGGTCAGAGAGGTCCATAGGGCAGGGCCTACTATCTGCCGGAGGCTGGGGGCTTATCTTCTCCCCCGACTTAGATCCTGAGCAACGTGAACCTGCCCGCCGACCTTGATCTTGTTACCAACGCAGAGTGGCTGAGCGTCAAAGAGCGGCAGCAGATTCGGCTCATCGTGGACGTGCTCAGCCGCCTGCCACACTACTCCTCCGCTGTCATCACTGCCGCCAGCACACTGCTCACAGAGCTCTTTAGTAACAAGGGTGAGGGCTGGAAGAAGGTGGGCTGGGCTGAGTCCCAAGGGGTGAGCATCCACCAGGCCTGGTAGCCGGCCAGCAGAAGCGGCGACTTTCCCAAATGGGTTGAAAGCTGTGGGGAGAGGCTGTACCAATGGCTTCCCAATGCTGTGGAAACTTGAGGGGGCGTGTGGAGTGGGTATGAGGGGGCGGTGAGAGAACTCAGAGCAAGGACTGGAGGAAGGAATTTGAGAACTGGGGAGATGGGCTGAAAGCGCATCTAGCGGTGGACCTGACTCTGGCCCGACTCTCCAATCTCCCCAGGCTGTGGGACCCTGTTTAAGAACGCTGAGCGGACGCTGCGAGTGCACAGCCTGGACAGCCTTGACCAGGGCCGTCTCGTGAACCTAGTCAACACCAGCTTCGGCAAGAAGCTCAGGGACGATTATCTGGAGTCGCTGCGCCCACGGCTACACTCGATCTATGTATCTGAGGGGTGAGACTCTGGGCCCCAGAGGGCAGGGCCCAAAGTCCTAAGCAGGGCAGCTTCAGGCCAAGGGAAAGTCCCAGCCTGCCTCTCTCCCAGGTACAACGCAGCAGCCATTCTGACAGTGGAGCCTGTACTGGGGGGTACCCCTTATCTGGACAAATTCGTGGTGAGCTCCAGCCGCCAGGGCCAAGGTTCCGGCCAGATGCTGTGGGAGTGCCTTCGGAGGGACCTACAGACGTTGTTCTGGCGCTCACGGGTCACCAACCCCATCAATCCCTGGTAGGCCTTGCCCTCCTCCTCCCAAAGCACCCCCCCTCCCCGCCAGCCACGCCCCTGGCTTTACCAGCAGCGCAGCTGGACACCATCCTTTCATTCATTTCCTCCACTAGCTTCCCTTCTTCAGGGTAGTCTCCTCTAAGGTCAAGGTTACCTAGTGACATTCTTCAATCCCACATTTCTGCTTTCTTTGAAGCAAGTGACAGTGAACCAGGATTCTGATCAATCCCAACCCTCCCAGCTCTCTCAGGCTCAGCTACCACGCTGGTCACTCCAGGCTCTCTCTTAGGAACGCCTTCCTCATTCATTCAGCAACCACATCCTCAGCCCTCAGGCTCTGCTCTGTGGGCACTAGAAAGTAACAAAGTACCAGCTCCTTCGTTACAGTAGGCAGTGGTGTGAGCTGGGAAGGCCCTCCCTTCCCCCCTCCCCTCGGACTCTCACCTTCTAGCTGTGAGATCCTAGCAAGTTACCTAACCTGGCAATGTGGGCTTCATCAGATGCTCTGGTCGCTGTTCTTAGGATAAAAAGAACAGACATCTGGTCCCAGTGGGATATCACGTAGTAGAAAAATATCCTGAAAACATTGAGTAAGCAAACCGTTGTCCTAAGAGGCTTCTGCCGCCTCCACACCCAGGTACTTCAAGCACAGTGATGGCAGCTTCTCCAACAAACAGTGGATCTTCTTCTGGTTTGGCTTGGCTGACATCCGGGATTCCTATGAACTGGTCAACCATGCCAAGGGGCTGCCGGACTCTTTCTGCAAGCCAGCTTCTGACCCAGGCAGCTGACACGCCATCATGGGCCCTGTAAATCCTGGGAGAGCCAGGGTGAACCAAAAGACATTCCTGCTGGGGGTGACTCCAGCAGCGTAGGGGAGGAAGCTGCAGAGGCACTGGAACGGGACAAACACAGACTGAAGCGGACAAAGACCCAGCTCCAAAGCCACAACCAGATGACCCTCGATGTTCAGTCTCGGGAATGGGGCTGGGATCGCCTTCCGAGGCTCTACTTAAGGTAACCATAAGGGCAGGCCAGTTTCTGTGGCCTCTATGTTGTCTTGAGGCTCCTTCATCTTACACGGCATCTAAGCCTGCCTGATCTGCCGCTCACTTTACTTTCGTTGAGTCTTGCAATTCTTCAGGAGGCCTTGATTAAAATGCAAATGCTTGTCTGAGTCAGTCACACTTGTCTCAAAAACAAACCAACAAAACTTAAATTACAGTAAGGATTTCGGGGTAGGGGAGATCTCTTCTCGCTGTTGGGGATGTCACGTAGGGCCTGGGACATTCTAGCAAGTGGTCTTCTACTAAGCTATACCCCCAGTTGATGTTTTAAGATTTCTTTTTAAAGATAGTGACCCTCTGGGAACAGGTGCTTGAAAGCCAGGGACCAAAGGATACCTGGATGGAGCGGGAAGGCACGGCACCAAGGGTTAACACTCCCATTGTCTCCTCACTTAGGGATCAGCAGCCCCTAGAGGGGTTCTCCCACTCCTAGGTCAGGAAACATTCTCCACAAACCAGTTACCTGTCACTGTGGGGGACGTCCCCCGCTCCCCACAGACCCTTTCACATAAAGGCGAAAATTCCAGCTAACAAAAATGACATATTTACCTTTAAGAACCCAGAGAAATCACAAGAAGGCCTTGGCTTAAAAGTCCAGACTTAGGAGATCAGCCTGGTCTACAGAGCTAGTTCCAGGACAGGCTCCAAAGCCACAGAGAAACCCTGTCTCGAATAACCAAAAAAAAAAAAAAAAAAAAAAAAANCTGGTCTACAAGAGCTAGTTCCAGGACAGGCTCCAAAACCACAGAGAAACCCTGTCTTGAAAAACAAAACAAAACAAAAAGTCCAGACTTAGCCATCCACCGCAGGTCATCTGTCATCTTTATAAAACCAATACTCCTCGGCTGGGCAAGAAGCCAGAGCCCAGAGGTTTTCACTCAATACTTTTGAAGATTTCTTTCAAACGATGTGTGTGTGTGTGTGTGTGTGTGTGTGTGTGTGTGTGTTTCGTGCAGGTACCCACAGAGGCAAGAAGATATAATATCTCCTAGAGCTGGAGTTACAGATGGTTGTGAGCCACATGACATGGATGCTGGAAACCAAACTGATCCTCTGAAGGGGCAGTCAGTGCTGTCTGTCACTAAGGCCTAAACATTTTCTTAAGATTCATTTTTATTATGGGAGCTGGAGAAGTGGCCCAGCGGTTAAAAGCACTGGCTACTCTTCCATAGGACCCAGATTTTATTCCTAACTTCAACATGGTGGTTCTCAATTGTCCATAACTCCAGTCCCCTAGACTGACGCCCTTTCCTGGCCCCCACGGACACCAGGCCTAAACATAGTACAAAATGTACATGCAGGCAAAAATACCCATATATATTTACAAAGTATTTTATTTATGTCTGTGTGTGTTTACACATGTACCTATGAAGGGCAAAGTAGTAGATCCTCTGGAGCTGGAATTCCAGGCATTTATGAGTCATCTGCAGTCAGTGCTGGGATCTGAACTCTAGGCCTCAGCAAGTGTTCTTAACCACTGAGTCATCGCTCCAGCCCACCCCTTCAGACACACACACACACACACACACACACACTTCTTGAGGCGATACGTAGTCCTTGAGAGCCCAGCCTTTGTAGCTACAGCTGGTGACCTTGAACTTTTACCTTCCTGCTTCACTTCCTGAAGTGCTGAGACCCATAAGGACGTGCTTCTAGCCGGGATTTATTCCCACTGGATGGGAATTGAACCCAGGGACACCAACTGTGCTACCTCCAGCCCTTGTTCAACACTTCAACAATTTTGATAGACAAGGTGACTTTATAAGACCACCATGGTACACCAGGGACAGTGACTGGCCCAAGGCCCAAGAGCAGCCTGTTTTTCCTTAGACATTCTGTGTTCCAAGGACTTGTCTAGATTTGGAAATTCCGCAGACCTGACCAGTCATCTAACTCCAGCTGGATTTGCTGTGATTTGAGGCAGGCTGCCTACTTTCTCTGAATCTCCCATTTCCTCAAATGTAATATGACATTAATATGCTTTCTAGCTGCCCTAGCCAAAGAGTTCTTCAAAAGAGCTGCCTCTAACAGGCAAAGAAGGGAAGACAGGCTATAAAAGGGATTGGGGAAATCAAAAGCGTAAAAAAAGCTGGACATAGAGACCTGCGTGTAACCTCGGCATCCAGGAAGTGGAGGCAGGAGGAACAGAAGCTTGAGACCAGGCTAGGTTACAGAGTGAGATGCTGTCTCAAAAACAAAATTAATGCTGGATGTGGTGACGCATGCCTCTAATCCTGGCACTCGGAAGACACAGGGAGGAGGATCTTGGTGAGTTTGAGGCCAGTTTACAGAGCAAGTTCTGGGCAGCCAGGGCTATACAGAGAAATCCTGTCTCAACAATAACAGAGACAGCCTCTCTATGTAGCTCTGGCTGTCCTGGAACTCACTCTGTAGACCAAGTTGGCCTCAAACTCAAGAGATCTGCCTGCCTCTACTTCCCAAGTGCTGGGAGTAAAGGTATACACAACCCCTAGAAAGTGTTTTGTTTTGTTTTTTATTTTTTTTAAAAAAAGAGCCGGGGTGGTGGCGGCCTTTAATCCCAGCAGAGGCAGGTGGATCTCTGTGAGTTCAAGGACAGCCAGGGCTGTTACACCACAGAGAACCCTGTATTGAAAAACAAAACAAAACAAACAAACAAACAAACAAAAAGATAGCTGAAGAAACAAGGGAACTCTCAGAACTGGGGGTAGTGGGGAATCCTAGGAGGACCAGGATAGGACTTAACCCAAGATGATCTTTCAAGAAACCCCAAATCAATTCCAGTCAATGGTAAAGTGCCCCATGGGGAAAACAGAAGCCAAGGCAAAACGTCTGTATAAAATGTTTATTTTCGGAGGACCATGTGGTCTGGTGTTTAGGAGGGTGCTCCACCTACCCAACCAAGGAGCTGAGAGCGGATGCAGCAGCAGGCAGCCTGGCAGGCCTGCTCCACCCAGCACATCCCAGAGCACACCAGGGCCAGCTCCACGGTGGGGGTCAGAGAGCTGGGATTGCTTCTGCCCCAGCAAACCCCCAAAGGGCCCAGTAGCACCAGTCACTCTGCCCCTCTTTGCAGGGCTCCCTCTATATGTGTGAAGACACACGCACACACACCTAGTCTGAAAAGCACTGTTTAGTTTAGCTGCATCTGCCAGGTTCCAGAAGGAATTTTCACATTTGCTTACTTCCAGATCTTCCTCTGTACCCCACTGCTAGTACCTGCACCCCAGCTCTGCCTTACTCCTTTCTCAGGGACTCCTCCCTCCCTCCCTCCCTCCCAGGACACATAGGGGAGGGGCAGTTGACCTCAGCTCTTCCCTAAAACAGGTAAGAAGGAAATAACCCTATGAGGCATTAGCATGAGGGGTTCCATCTTCCCAAGGTCTGAGCCACAAACTTGGGGAAGAAACCTTAACTAATAAAAAAAAAAAAAAAAAAAAAAAAAAAAGAGGCATAAATAAGCAGCAACTGGGCCAGCAAGGAGGAAGGTAAGGTGGCCCTCAGTGGCCCCCTGTGCCCAAATCAGCCTCTCCCTGTGGAAGTCAGCCATCAGTAGCCAAGATGACAGCAGCCCCGAAGATGCCCACACTCTCGCCGAGCAGCTTCATCTGGTTCCAGAACTCGACGCGCCGCGTGTTGTGCCAATAGGAGACGTTGCCGTCAATGAGCAGCATGACCGGGGGCAACAACACAGCCAGGATCTGGGCAGCCAGGGTCACATAGTAACCTGACAGGAAAGCCAGGGCCAGGACCCCATAAAGCACGAAGAACATCTGGACCATCAGCTCCCCTCCTGGAAGATGGTTCAGGTATGCCAGCCGGTCTTCCTTGCTGTGCTGCAGCGAGTAGGCCTAGAGACACAGCACCTTTAGAGACTATGCAGCAGGTGAGGGTCCCCCTGAGGTAGTACAAGTCGGCTCCTGTAAAGTGAGCCTCAAAGTCCCCTCTCAGGATGGGGACCCTCTGAAAGTATGGCCCGTCTCCCCCTCTGACTATAGGACCCCAGGAGGTAAGACTGAGCTCTGCACCCCTGGGAGCTTCTGAAAGAAGGAAGTGTGTCTCCACAGTCAGACGGAGACTCCCACTTTTGAATAGACACACCACGGAAGCCCACATAGAACTCTGCACATGGAATATGATTCCTGGTTCCTATGATGAGGTCAAGTGCTTGAAGCCTATCTGTCTCCTATCATCTCCATCGGCCTTCCCAAGTACCAGGAAGGACTACCTGACTACCTACGAGACCCCACCAGCTCTAGGTGGCAGAGTTGCACCACATCTCTCTGTCCCCTCTCTCAGTCCTCTGGAGGGGAAGGCACTGAGAAAATGACACCATTTATCGGATTCTCAGGATGGGGACTGAATGGTCAATTCAACTCCTTATCTAGCTGATGAAAATAATGTGGGAAGGAGGGACCCACAGCCAGACTTAAGGTTTTTGGAGGCCCTTGAGAACCAGCAGCTGTCAGGGGCAATCTCTAGGAGCCACCGGAAATTACCTGCAAGGCCTTGTTCTACCAAGTGCCAGGATTCTGCCGGGCATAAGCTTACGTTTCACTCCCCACACAGGTGCCTCCAATCGATAGAACCCCAACCTACCACACAAATGAGGTAGATGCCCAGGAACACCTGGCCAGTGGACTGCAGAGAACGGCTTCGGGGTTTCCGACGGTATAGCTCCCCAGCCCCACTGGCCAGCACCAGAAAGCCACCAATGATGGCAACTGTGCGTGAGTACATACGGACCTAAGGTCAGGAAAAAAGGGGCCCCAGTCAAGAACTGCAATCATTACATTTCTCTCGACTGTCAAGAACACAGAACTGTTCCCTTCCAGTTCTATCTGATAAACCCTCTTACCTATTCCAAGTGTAGTGGACAGGTACTGCAGAGAGAAATTCTCTTTACAAGGCAGAAACTGAGGGCTGAGAGGAGATAAGAAAACTGTCCAGGGTCCTACAGAAAGTAAGTGGCAGAACCCAGATGCCACACGTTGCCACCTCCTCCACACCTAGTATCCACCCCAGAGTTCTTGCCTCTATGTAATATAAACTCTATACCAACTAAAACAAGAATAGCTAGCCAGGCAGTGGTTGCGCACATCTTTAATCCCAGCACTCGGGAGACAGAGGCAGACAGATCTCTGTGTGTGAGTTCCAGGCCAGACTGGTCGTCAGAGCGAGTGCCAGAACAGCCAGGGCTACTCAGAGAAACCCTGTCCTAAAAAGAGGCGAACAAACAAAACAGGCCCACTGTCCTATGCAAAGCGGCCCACACATCTGCCTCCCCTACTGGACTAACAATCCAGTCCTTGAAGGCAGTGGCTCCATACCACCTTACCTTCAGGCTCTCAGTGGCCAGTACTGCTTCTGCATTTGCAGACAAAAAAAATCTGCACTAATATTAATTACATATCATAAAACCTGATGAATAGGCTAGGTATTCTCTAAAGTCTCTTTTGCTTTATGAGTTGGGATTAATAAAGTAGTGGTTTAAAGGATTCTGAGAAACAGGTAACTCCGGGTTACAGGTCCCACCAGTACATTGTGGCATGATTTCAGAGAGGTCCATTTCTCATCTCGGGGTGTCCACTGTCACACTCTACAAAGGAGGTCTGTGAGGTCTCTATGTGTCTGCCACGTCTGCGCTCTAATAACAGCTACAAACCTAATGCCTCAGACTTCAAGTATGGGAGGACCACACGTGCCCACCAAGTGCTCCAGGACTCTGCAGCTCCTCCCCCATAGCTAAATCTCTTCTAGAATTTATGTGCTCACCTTTAACCAGTCCCCGTAATGGACATAGCCCCCGATATAAGCGGCATAGGTGCTGATGGCCAGCTGGAGCGCCGCACCCAACGCAAACCAGCGCCGCTTCACTCCGAAGGACATGAAGCTAGCACACAGCACAGCTGCTCCCATGTCGAAATACAGGTAAGGCACTGGGATGTCGGGCTTCCTGTGAACCGAAAGCAGGCGAAAGTAGGGAGCAATGAGGACAGAATGAATGGTAAATGTTTAAGTTCCCGCAAGCTTCGGGGCCCCCCAGAAACTGGAGACCCTCCTCACTGTTGCGGCTATATTACATTGCAGTTGGAAATAAAGCCCTGGTTATGTTGTGGGACCAGAACATTTCCCAACCTGTCTGAGTATCAATTCCACCCAGTCCAAATGTTCCAATTTCTGGGCCCCAACTTCCCCCAACATCACCGCACCCCAGTTCCTGGGACAGGCCGTACCGCCCCCCACCGCATTCGACGGCTTCGTGGGCGCGCTCACCGGCGCGCCTCGGCCCTTTCAGCATACAACATGAGCTGGCTGAAGCAACCCCAAAAGGGGCAGCGCGTGAGCAGCACCGAACCCAGTTGCATGATCAGCTGCAGCATCCAGCGTCTCGAGCCAATCTTCGAAGCCATCTTGGGAAAGGGCAGTCCGCTACGGCCTCACCCGGGTCTGGGAGACTAGGACGGAGGCTAATACAATTAACTTCCGGTCCCTTACTGTTTTTCCCTTCGTCGGGAAACAAAGCTCTCGCTCTTTAGTTCCGGATGGAAAAACGTGTTCTAGAAGAAGGCGTTCAACCTTTCCGAACTCTGCCTATGGAGAGACCTCAAAGCTCCTCTTTGCACTTTCAAAATGGGATATTAGCAAAGAACATAGATAGGGTCAGAACACCAAAAGTTCTGGATCGCAGCTTGGAAGCAAACAAGTCTAAATGTAGCCAGACCCGGACACTAACCTGAAACCAATCCTGCCTCATCTAAACTGAGACTCATTTGTGAAATGAAAATAATGACATTCTACCTCACTGTTGCTGAAGTTAAACTTAACAAAGGTGGTCCTAGCACATAAGAAGGCTATGATAGCCGGGCGCTGGTGGCGCACGCCTTTAAACCCAGCACTCGGGAGGCAGAGGCAGGCTGATCTCTGTGAGTTCGAGACCAGCCTGGTCTACAGAGCGAGTTCCAGGACAGGCTCCAAAGCCACAGAGAAACCCTATCTCGAAAAAAAAAAAAAAGAAGAAGAAGAAGAAGAAGGCTATGATAAAAAGGGTCCAATATATCAACACAGGACCGAGAGAATTCCTTGGCTTTAACTGAAGTTTGTTTTTTTTTTTTTGGGGGGGGGGTTTCAAGACAGGGTTTCTCTGGGGTTTTGGAGCCTGTCCTGGAACTAGCTCTTGTAGACCATGCTGGTCTCGAACTCACAGAGATCCGCCTGCCTCTGCCTCCCAAGTGCTGGGATTAAAGGCGTGCACCACCACCGCCCGGCTTTTAGCTGAAGTTTTAAAGAACGGAGTCTTGATGTCTTTTGTCTCCTGAGAGAAGAGGGAAGCCTACACATTTATAACATCTTAATCAGTCCATTTTTTTTCCAACTGCAGTATTCCTGCTCTAGCCCCAACAGCCATCAGCTTAACTTCAGCATCCTTCAAGCGACCTCCCCATTACATAGTCTCCAAACATCCTCTGGAAGGAGGCTGAGGGCTGATTTTATTGTTCACATGATTTCCTATGTAGATCAGGAGATCCTCCTATCTGTCATCCTCCTGCCTGCATCTCAAGGGATAGAGATTGCAAACATGCCTCTTTAACAACTTCAGCAGAGGCAATGACGTATTTGCATCTCTCTTATCAATAAACACACACACACACGATTATGAATTCCAGAGTGCAATGGTTGTAAGCATGTAGTTTCTGTTTATTTATAGTCTCAGGCCCAAACATACACTCAAGAACTATGTACTACATGGAGAGATAAATGAACATATGTCTTGCAGTTAGCAGTGTTCAGCAAATACCAATGAAAGAAGCAAAAGTTCTGGGCAGTACGTAGTTGCCACCAAAAAGCTGCCCCCATCTGTGTTTTGAGGCACACATGCCACACGCCCTTTAAGAGACTAATTCACCCTCTACTATTGAACTTAAAACCCTGTAAGCACTCTAATGCCAATGGTCATTTATTTGGGATCTCATTTCAATTCCCTCGAAGGAACTCATGTCCTAACAGCATGTTTTTAAAAAAAAATATTTATTTATTTATTATGCATACAATATTCTGTCTGTGTGTATGTCTGCAGGCCAGAAGAGGGCACCAGACCTCATTACAGATGGTTGTAAGCCACCATGTGGTTGCCGGGAATTTAACTCAGGACCTTTGGAAGAGCAGGCAGTGCTCTTAACAACTGAGCCATCTCTCCAGCCCCCTCCTAATAGCATTTTTGACCATAAGGATAAAAATCTTTCAATTATCTGGTGAGTGAAAGAAGGACAATAAAGGCTTTTTTTTTTTTCCCTTCCTTTAAATCAGGATTTTACTCCGTAGCCTGGCTGGCCTGGAACTTGCTATGAAGACCAGGCCGGCTTCAAACTCGGAGATCTTCCTCTGCCTCCTGGTGCTGGGATTAAAGTTACCATGGCTGTCTCACACTTCCTCCTCTCCTCTATTTAATTTATTTATCGACTTTTTGAGACACAGTTTCTCCGTGTAACAACAGTCCTAGTTGTTATTGATCAGGTTGACCTCGAACTCACAGAATCCACCTGCCTCTGCCTCTGGAGTCCTGGGATTAAAGGCGTGTGCCACCAATACCCACCTACATTACTTTTCTTTCTTTTTTTTTTTTAAACAAAGACTTTGTGTGTGTGTGTGTATACACACACACACAAAGGAATGAGGAATGCAAAGTATGGGATTCTGTGGATATAAATCAGGTATGGATAATAAGGACAATGAAAAAAGGTCCAGGTTAAGGTTACTTTGTGCACCTCTACCCCAGTGGCAGTCACGACTCACTTTCCTCACCATAACACAAGCCCACGGGACAGAACCACTTCCCAAGTCTCTTCAGCCACGGCTGACTCCATGTGGGTGCAGAGGATTGAACTCAGGTCCTCTGGAAGAGCAACCAGTGCTCTTAACCACTGAGCTCTCTCTCCAGTCCCCTTTTTAGTTTTTCAAGACAGGGGTTTTCTTTGTAAACCTGGCCATGCTGGAATTTGCTCTTGGGATCAGGTTGGCCTCAAACTCAAGAGATTCACCTGCCTGTTAACCAGTACGCTGGAATTAAAAGTGTACACTACCACTGCCCAGATGGATTTTTTTTTTGAGACAGGGTCTCACTGTGTAACTTGGCTTATCTGGAACTCAATATGTAAACCAAGTTGACATTAAACTCATAGAGTTCCACCTGCCTCTCCCTCCCAAATGCTGGAGTTAAAGGCATTCACTTGATCAAACCTGGCAGAAATGGGATTATGTTCACAGAATAATTCTAGAAGCCCACTGGTCCTGCGTCCACAGGCAGAGGCCCACGTTCCCATCTTAACCCTAGCAATCAATTTCATCAGAGTTCCTGTGTAGTTTCAATGGGAATGACCACCAGAGTCCGGTTTGAATGCTTGGTCCAGAGAATGGCACTATTCGGTGTGGCTTCGAGGTCTCCGATGCTCAAGCAAGGCCTAGTATCGCTTTCACTTCTGCTGCCTGCAGATGAAAATGTGGCATTCTCAGCTCCTTCACCACGTCTACCTGCATGCCACCATGTCCCACCATGACAAAACAGACCAAACTCCTACAGCTGTCATTTATAAGAGTTGCTATGGTCATGGTGTCTCTTCACAGCAATAAAACCCTAACTATGACAGTCCCATTCAGCAGAAGTCATCATGTGTGAAGGGGAAGCCTGGTATCCAGGACGCCTTCTCTGATATGCATTCCACTCTGCCTTCTCCTTCTATAGACTAATGCCCAGTCTTTAGGGTTGGAGCAGGTGTTAGCATAGTGCCAGGTCAGGGAAGAGGCGACATGGACAGCATGTGTTCTGACAATGAGCTAGGCCATCGGCCCACCTCCTTCTAGCCCTGTCCTGATAGAGAGGTGAGCCCCACAGACATCGAAAGAATTTTCTTAATCTCCCTTGAACTTCCACAAACCTCACCAGAGGCTCCTTAGCTCTTCCCTGGTCCCACCAAGCCCCTGGAAAAACTTGCGTTTGGCCATGACCACAGTCACAGAGGTCAGTAAGGTGCCTATGAAGGCCAACAGTGGCTGTTTTATCCAGCAGAGCCATGCCCTCAAGAGCCAGACAGGTCCAGTGCACGTCAAGTTACCTGGGCCAGGCAAGTGCAAGCTTCAAGTGATTTCACCTCAAGTGACTCAGCTTCCCAAAGGCCCACCGCAGATAACAGAAAAGCTGACTAGTAGAAGCCATGTGTCGGCCACATTATATTCAAGGTGCTATAACCCGCTAACCACAATAGAAAAGCTATTGCCTACGAGGCCACAAAGGCCTTCCTTAGTTTCCAGTGTGCTGTTGTTGCTCCCAGCCAGACAGAGGACTTTTCAGTCCAGAAGTAATGGCCAGGGTAGTTCCTGCTGCAGTGAGTTCCAAGAATTGGTATAGGTGGAAGAGGCCAGAGCCTGCTGCTGCCCAATTCAGGCAGCTGGTTGTGGCACAGGCCAAGCTGTCTCGGGTTCCCCCAGTGCTATTAGGTGCAAAGGTTCAAGGTGGTGAGCAGGTTGTGGAAAAGGTCTGGAGAGAGAGCCCAGAGCAGCTGAAAAGTCTGAAGGCAGGTGAGCCAGTCGGTTGTGGAAGGGTCCAGCAGCTCCAGAAGGGGCGGGTCCTCCTGAATTTCATTAGCCAGATTCCAGAGGACAGTGAAAAAGCAGCAGCACCTACAGTCCCCAGGGGCAGTGGAGATGCCAAGTGGTAAATGGCTGAAGTTACTGTGGCTCAGCCCCAGGAACCAGATTCACAATGAGGGAGGTGGAGCAGGTGGAAGCTCCCATAGTCTACTAGACTGCTGTCACATTGCACAGAAAGGCTAATCCCACCAGCATGGTATGGTGGTCACTGTGAGCAAAGAGCAGCTGCACCTGGCCCATCCTTGTTCACTGATTCATCTGAAGATGGCATTGGGGAACAGACGATGCTGAGACCCTCACGTTTCAATTCCTCCTAGAGAAGTATGGTAATGTCAGGGAAGAAAAACAACCATCTAAGGACCCCTCACCATTTTCTGGGTCTCCAACATGGGCTCAATAATACCCATGTGCCATCCTCAATAGTATTAACTTACTCAGATTGATGGCAGGATTCATTTTATTTTTTTTTCTAAGATTTATTTATTATGTATACAGTATTCTCAGTATTCTGTCTGCATGTATGCCTGCAGGCCAGAAGAGGGCACCAGACCCCATTACAGATGGTTGTGAGCCACCATGTGGTTGCTGGGAATTGAACACAGGACCTTTGGAAGAACAGACAGTGGTCTTAACCACTGAGCCATCTCTCCAGCCCCAGCAGGATTCATTTTAAGCTTGGCATAGTGACTCATGCCTACAATCCCACCACTTGGGAGCTTGAGGCAGAAGAATCTCCATGAGTTTAAGGTCAGTCTAGGCTATAGAGAGAGGCTCTTTCACAAAACAAGAGCTGGAGATGTAGCTCAGTTGGT